CTAATCGTAAATTTTCGTAAGTTTACGCTCGCGTAAAAACTTGCAGAGGTTTACGCCTATTTATTTTTGCTGATGTAAGAACTAGTAACAAAATATAGTAAAAAGTATAATATTTATTATTATTTTTGAAATCTAAAGTTTTTTAAAAAAAAACTTTTTCTTTACTAAGCTAAGCTCTTTTCAACTTCTAAAAAAACTTGTAGAAGAGTGTCTTGTGATCAGAATGGTGGTTAAAATGTTAAAATCAACCTAGTAAATTGCAAAATATAAATATTTTAATTTTCATAACTATATATTTTCTTCTTTACTGTATTTATATAAAGAAGAAAACATATACTGTATTCCTCTGAAAATAAGCACCCCTTTTTTGCTATAAGGTTGCTCATTTTCAGGTATAATCTCAACTAATAATTTAAATGATTTGATATTTAGTTACTTATTCTATTATATAAGAGGTGCTTATTTTTGGGTATATATGAATTGTAAGAGGTGCTTACTTTCGGGAGTGCTTATTTTCGAAGAAATACAGTAGTTGCAAAGACTAAAATGCTTATATCTTATGATTTACTGAGCCAATTTTAACATTTTAACTGCTATTCTAATCACAAGGCACTCTTTTACAAACTTTGCTCAGAAATTGAAAAGAGCTTAACTTAGTAAAAGAAAAAGCTTTCTTTAAAAAACTCTAGATTCCAAAGATAATAGTAAATATCACATGGTTTTTTAGTTAAGGTATTAATTTTTTTTAAATGTTAATCTGCTTTAAAATTTAGGTTCAAATAAGTAATTTGACTATAATTTGAAATTTGGGACTAGGAATTTGGAATTTGGAATTTGGGATTTGAGATTTGGGATTTGAGATTTGGGATGAGTTTGGGATTTGGCCAGAGTTTGGGATTTTGTCAGCCCAAATAGAATTTGTCTAGTTTGGGATTTGGGATTTTTCCACATGGGATTTGGGTTTGAGTGGGATTTTAAAGATTTGTAGTTTGTGCGACATGTATACCCCCAGATACCAGACCCCTATGTAGTATACCCGGGTCTACAGCATGGGATAAGCTTTGGTAAAATGTAAGAGACCTAGAGTATACAAATAGGAAAAAACTAATAAAATAGAATAAACCCCCAATTATCAGACCCACACTCATACAAGAGACCCACGGGTCTAATTATTGTTTTAAAATTGGTAAAATGAATTAGACCCGGGTCTTGTATACGGCAGTTTACGGTAATTCAATGTCAGACCCCCTAAGAGTGCACATTCCCTAAGTGCACGGTATACCCTAATATGCACGCCTCTGCTTGGTCCCAACTCATATAACAATTATAAAATTTAACCTCTCTAAGCGCACATTTTGCATTTTTTTCACTACGGTCCCAAGAGGTGTGCACTTAGGGAGGTGCGACTGTATTAAGCAGATGGAGAACTACCAGGCATAAGGAAGGACCATAACGAACACCGCTCTCATCACCTGAAATACCACTGGAAACTTTTTTTCTTCCAAATATTTTATCTATGAATGGAATTTGGGAATCGAGAGTTGCCACCATCAATAATTATATCGTTTTTATCGAAATCAATGAAGAACTAGCCTTGATCAAAAGCATGATTTTATGTGAGCGTTTACAAGATCTTCAATAGATCAAGCACTGATGATATTGGTGCCTTTATCGAACAAATAAAGTAACTTTATATGATCACAAGAATCGATTACTAACAAACCTTTTGCTCATTCTCAAAAAGTGATCGCCTTTGAATATAATTCGATTATGGGCAACTATAATAAAACCATGCCATGTAAATAAATAAGGAAGCGTAAGAAACTGGATTTAATTATAAGGCAATGCATAAAGTAATTGAGTGGCGTGGTGGGATCGACGTTTGAGCTTAGAGTAATACTTAAAAGTATAAATGAATAATCGTGTAACGTAGATCGGACTCCTATGCTTAAATCGTCTATTAATTAAAATACATACCGTATTTAGTTCCGACACACAATGCTACTAATTTAAATATATCAAAAAAGTTGGGACATGCTTGAACATGCTTGGACATGGACGGAACAAAACAAAGGAAGCTTTGGACAACAAAAATGTACAACGCTGCCTAGCGTTACAAATTTTCTTAACAAATTTCTACAGGCGAAATCTTCGTTAGAAAACCTGGAGGCTAGAATAGAAGAATTAAAAGAAGCACAGGAAACCGCAAATCACGATGAATGGACAGAAAAGATCGTAAGAACTGAAACCACAAAGGTATATTATTTAATGTCTTTATCATATAAAAATCCACGATAAATCCACGATTAATATATCATTTTTCCTTTTTGATGTATAGAAAAACTTAGATACTAATATGCAAACTCTATTAGAACAAAAATTTGTGGACAACCTGAAATTAAGATTGTCAAAAATAAACCGCCACAAGGTTTACTTTAAGCATTTTTATTCTATCAATTAAATTCTTTTGTAATCGACACTTATCAACAAAAAAAAAAAAAAAAAGAAATGGCGAAAAAAACACATTAAAAAGTTACAAATGGTTCGAGATGAACGACAACGTCGAAGAGAATCATTACACAAGACTATTGATGAATGGCGGACTGAGTGGATCGCAAAGGAGCTGGCACTCAAACGTGTGAGTGAATAGTAAATAATATTACATGAAATGTACAATTCATCCTCATTGAATATATTTTAGGAACAAGCCAGGAAAAGGGAGGCCGAAAAACGAGTGCAAGAGGCTGAGGCAAATAGAAGCAAGCATAGAGAACTTTCAAAACTGCTGGAAAAAGTCAAGAAATTGCGAGACCTTCGTAGGGATCGGTTGAAACGAGAAGGTTATTATCTAAATTGAATCGTAAATTATTAAAAGGTATTAAATTTGCTGAGTTTTTTTTTATTTTTTTTTTTATATTGGCAGGTCACTTTTTTCCCGAGGAAGATGATGAATTCTTTAATAAGGTTGCATCATTGAACGATGTAATGAAAATTGAGGAAGCACGATTAGATAAGGAAAGGAATGCAGCCGCTGAACACAAGAGAAATGAAGCCATGGATGTTGGCATGAAAGAACGAGAAAAGGAAAGGGATCCTGTTTATGAATATTGGCATCAAGCTGAATTTGATATTGATAACCTTATCTCAATCAGGTAAAAATCGCTGTTTGTTTCATTTGATAAAGTTCTTAATCAAGTAATTCGCTAACGTTATGTACATAGACGTCAATGGGATGCATTTTTGGTTGCACCTAGTACTACTGGATCATCGTGCATCCCACTATCTTTTGTAGATCCTTCACCCCCTGCAAATTATGTCTGGGCTTCTTGTCTTACGCATGGCTCAAACTGATACGTACTACATCCTGTGTTTTTAAGTTGAAAATTTTATTAATAATATAGCGATTATGGTATTAGTCAAACCTATATTATGCATCGTAATAAATCATTGAGATACTATTGTTTTACTACCGGCTGTGTGGTGCCATAATAAAAAGCTATCTAGTTTAAAAAATATTGTTAATAATTGCCGAGGATGTTACTAAGATTTTGATTTGTTTTAACAAGAATACTAACAATATATAAGTTTATTATGAAAATTTAGGGACAGGGTGTAGCTATAAGTTAAGATGGGTGTTGGGTTTTGGAGGTTCTGAACATTTTTACTTAGAATACCTAACCTTAATTACTTAGTTTTTGAGATATAGCAGCTGTGGTGTTGAACACCATTGATGTGTTTTAGTAAACTCGTAAATTAATAATAATAATAATAATGGGTTAATCAAATAAATAAAATAGTAAAATAGTATTTGTATAACTAATAAAAATAATTTTAGCAAATTATAAGCTGCCAAATAATATTAACTAAACTATAGCGACAAAATATTCTAGATCTAAGTATAAATTATTACTGTTGTCAATAGAAATCAAGCAGATTGACATTTTTAAAAACATCAATCCATTAACTTTCACTACTTGTATTTCGATGAATTTTGAAGCTATTTTGATGAATTAATATTCAAAAGAAAGTCTGAATATTAATTCGTCAAGATAGCCTCAAAATTCATTGAGATATAAGTTGTGAAAGGGATTAATTTTTTTTAAAAATGCCAATCTGCTTGATTTCTATTGACGGCAGTCCATATAGGTCGTTAAGAGGGATTTTAGGTTCTATTAACGAGTTTTTTGAAAAATTAGTCGTTTTTTCGTATTTCATCAAAAAACCCATATGGTTAAAATTTACACTAGTTATAGAATATTTTTGTCGCTATCGCAAAAACTTTTTCAGATCAATATCACGTGCGCGAACAGCTGTACTGTACATACGAGTATTTGATTATCGACACGTTGATTACCAATGAAAATTGATGATCACGTGTAACGTACCAATTTAAATTGGCGTGTTTACTGAATCTTTGTTTTTTTTGTTCTCAGTGTTCTCACGCTTAGTTCGCTTCTTCTTCGCTTCATTGCTATACTCCATGATGTCCAGCTTTTTTGAATCCCTTGTTTCAAGGTCTACTGGTTCTATATAAGGAGCTGGTTACGTTCTTTCTTGATTTAAGCAACTAAAAAACCTGGACATAGAGGTTTTTGTTAGCGAACTAAGTAAAAGCTTCGTTGAAGAACAACCTACTCCTGTACGGGAGGCGCAGGAGAGAATATGGTTGGGGTATAATATAGGTGCAAGGCGGCATTCAATTTTAAAAAGAAAAAGAACTACACTGTCAACTAATGATAGGTGCTACTCAACGCCGAACCATCTCTATTTTTATCTTCCCAACCAATGAGATACACCTCTCCGTGGTGGTTGGAACTAATGATGGTTGACGCAACCACGTGATGCTAATTGTCACATGCTTTTACTTATAAAAGATCAACATCAATTTTGATTTTTTATAAGTAATAGCATGTGACAAATAGCATCACGTGGTTGCGTCACCCATCATTAGTTGGGACAAGTAGGAGAGATAATCTCTGAAACTAAGTATCTCAAACTTTTATTAATTTACCGGTTATATATTTTATCATGTAGATGTTTATTAAGTAAAAATACCATTCCTGGTGGATCATCGGTACTGTTTCTGATGGGATGAAAAAAAAATCGATTTACGTACCGTTCCTGATAGAGTTCTAAAAACTAAACTGCTGTCGAAATATAAAGCTGTTGCATAAAAATTTGGCAGTCCACTATTACTGCCCAACCAGATTATAAGATCAACGCATAACATAAAATTCAAAAAAAAAACGGAAATTGGTATATTTAATAAAGTTTTTCAACCCAAATATTCTTACCAAATTCGCGCGAAATAACGCCCATGGGTATTATTTTAAAATATGTAATTCAAAGAGAGCCAACTCTGAATACACCATAATTTTAATGTTAATAATAATTCTTTTGCTAAATTAATTATTAGCTCTCTTCAAATTACGTGTCTTGAATAACGCCTATGGAAGTTTTTCGCGTAGATTCGGTACTGTATTATTTTAAGACCAATATTTAGGCAAGATGAAACCAACGTTGTGAATTAATCACGGATCGTGACTTAGCATTCACATTATAACTAAGCATCGTTATGAGAATCAACTTCGGGGTCCTTTAAGAACCCTATCAGGAACAGTACGTAAATCGATTTTTTTTTCATCCCATCAGAAACAGTACCGACGATCTATCAAGAACGGTATTTTTGCGTTTATTAACTTTAATAAAAAAAATTGGGTTTGTTGTAGATAATGTAGCATCAGCTCCGTAGTTCGATATATTTAAATATTCTCTATATGTATTTAGCATGCCGATAAAGTTCTTAGTATATAACAGCTCACCATAGTAATAACACGAAAAAAACCACGTAATTGTTAATAAACTGATAAGAGATTAAATGAAACAAAAAAATAACTGTTTTAAACAGACAAACCCTTCAAACGTATGCTCCTGATCAAAAATCAAATGTTAATAAATGTCGCGGATGATGCTGAAATCTGAGGTCTTAATTTAAAAATATAAACCCTATCAAATCTATCTATACAGCTATACTCTTATTATACTGTAAATCATGACCCTAAATTCTAGTTCAATCAAAAAAATGTACATCAAAAATTTTAAATTAAATAGGTTTTAATTTCAGCATCATCCGCATAATGAACTTTTTACAAATTCCGCATTTTGCATGCGACAAATTTTATGTAAATTTTAATTAAAGAAAGTATTAATCACGGTAATAAATACTGTAATAAATAGTTAAAACATCATCAATACGTCACGTATAAAAGTTTTCAAAGAAAGAACCATTTGCATAATATTTATATAACTTATTTTTTTAAAAAAAAAAAAACTAGTGTGATTGAATGGCTTAAAATTTATTTCAATATGCGGAAAGGCAGGGTTGGCACATTTGTCCATCGGTATCAATCCATTAACCAGATCCATCCATTGAGTGGTACTAAACTCAATGGACCAATGCGACCAAGTGAGTTGTTATCGCGATGAAAAAAAAAAGATAATTGAGATCTTTTTTATTAGAGTTGTGCCGATTGGTTAAAATTTTTAAAATTTAATATCCGCATTTTGCGACATGAATCTTTAAATTAATCATAGTATTTGTTTACGACTTGCCAATCATATTGAGAGAGATTCTTAGGACTTCAATATAATAGTATTATCTATGAAATTTTTTGGCTGGTTAAAGCCAATGGACCAATGGATTATGGTATTGATCCATTGACAAATTTATTTTTAATGGGCATAGTCCATTGTCATAATAAAATCCGCAGATTCCAAGAAAATTTTGAATTTTCAATCTGCGCCCGCAGAATCTGTATATAGATTTTAAACACTGCTTATAATACGCAGGATCTCCCTAAATGCAAGTCGTAGGAACTAAAAATTTTGCATTTATGGGAGCCTAGTATTTATTTGGGCCAGAGTTAAGCGATTATGATAAAATGTATTAATTCTTTTAATTTTAACTAATGCTTATCTAGAGATGTTATGTAGCTGGTCTTAGACCAATAGACTGCAGTTAGTCTTAGGATCAGTCTGAACCTAAAAAATTGATATGCTCTTAGTCTTAAGATCAGACCAATCTGGACTAGTTTACCTCTTAGGACTGTAAACCAGACCGCTGTATTATCGCCACAAAATTAATTTCCTTTTTTTGGGTTGTGTAACTGCGAAAATAAATAAATTCTGCGCTCATCTCTTATATGAACAGGAGTTTTTGAAGTCATTCATCAAAAAAACCCCCAAACTCATTTATAGTGCCTTAAATTCATCAAATAAATACAATGTAGGCTTTTTCTTTATTTTAACGTATATAATATAAAATATTTCTACGTATTATTTCTATTGCTTGAAAAAAAACCATAAATTGGTTAGTATCTGCAGTCTTTCTGCATCTCGGTTTCATTAAGCCCACGTTTGATCAGTGTCTGTGCATGTTCGTTTGAATTCAAGTGGCCAGTTCACTCAATTCCATTATAGCTGCTCATATAGATCATATCTTGGCTTTTAGAAAAACTCTCAGTTATTAATTTGACTGATCTCTTGGAATTCTGTACATTAATAATGCATGTCAAATTTTATCTATAAATGAAGCACTTAAGGATCTTGATTATTGTTTGCTTGGTGAATTTTAGCGTTCTTTCGAAGCTAGAAATTATCTATTTTTTTTTTTAGTGAAACATTACGTTCCTGAAAAATACTTTAAAGTATATAAATAAGCTACCCGGGCAATTGTTTTACATCAGCTAATAAGACGAAATCTGTCTATTAATGTATGTATCATGGGCCCGATCCTACTACCGCAGGCCGCAGTACAAGCAAAAAACTGCGTATTATTTAATTCGATACCCATATAAAAGAACTTTTATTTTTTCATTCATAAATAAACTTATCCAGATTTCGCTTGACAAATGACTACTCTTCGAGAGCTATTTGGTGGTGCTATTGTAGCCCATATACCATCTACATTTATTGATGTCAGGTATTTTAATTATATATTTTTATCAAATTCAATATATATATTTTAACCAAAATTGATAATATATCCTAGCGAGATTCGTGATATTGCAGATAACCAAGAAGTTTTTGCAAACGTTAACTCGGATCAAAGTATTATTATTGAAATATTACAATACGTTAATGAGCCTTCGAACGAAGATGCTGTTAGGTAATCCTTAAATCATTTGATATTTTATTCTATTTTATTTATTTTCAAATTATATTTTAGGTACCATTTTGCATCTCTGGCCCATGACAACGATGCCGAAGATTTTAATACTATTCAACAAATGACCGAATTGACTTCTCTTGAGGTTCCAAAGCTCCCGTAAGTTTTCAGCCAGCAAAAAAAAAAAAAATTCTAAAATTTTTATTTCGGATTAAATTACTTATTCCTTTCATATTAAATACAAATATTTATGATACAACAACTTCTATTTAAAAGTTCTGATACTCCAAAATATTTTCTTGTCGGTCAACAACAAATTTCCAAATTTAACGAACGTGATCCATCTGCTCGAAATTTAGTAACAATTCTCATGGCATTATTCAGATTCCCAAATATCCAAACTGACATAGTTGTCACATGGAATATACCTGTGATTATTGGTGCTACTAGTAGTAGCAGGTTGATAGCACAAGAAGGTGATGTTAATGAAGGGTATCAAGAATTCAAGAATATTTTAGCTAGTTTTGAGATTAAGGATTGGGGATTATTTAACGCATAATGAGTTTATTTAAATCTTAGTTCTAGTTTTTAAGAGAAAAAATTTGGCAGTAAAATTCATTACGTAGTCTAAATAATTATATATACAGTAATAAAATTTTGTCTTTATTTAATTATTAACGGTTAAATTTATAACTAAATTTAATTCTATCTTTAAATATACTGTAATTTTACTGCCTTTAATTATATTGTACACTGCTTTAATATATTTTACAGGAGTTTTGTTATTATTATTAATATTACAAAACGATAATAGTAGTAATAATAATAATAATCATAATGTAAACGATAATAATTTTCTATTCAAACTTCATTATTGTTATAAGTTAAATAATATATTTTAGAGCTTATGAAATCAATTATACTTGACATCCTTTCCAAAAGGCGATAAATAAAGAATAGTAATAATGGAAATAAAACTTTCCATCATACCTATAACTAATATAAAACCTAAAATACTTTATTTTCAACACCAAGTAAAAAATGGGGTATTCCCGCTCGCGATTTCCAATCTTTCGACAAGAACTTGTTTAGTTTTTTTAACTTCCATTGAAGCCCTATTCTTTTTACCGACATTATCGATATTAAGTTTTTCTTTAACGCGGTTGATTGTATCATTCCATTTGTGCTTGGCAGTAGTAGAAATGTTTGAGTGATATGAGGAAGCAGGTGCACTTGTAGACAAAGACTGTCGTGCGGAGGAACTCTCTTCTAAGCTTCTTCTTGGCGTTATAGGTAGACCATCAATTCCTGAAGAATCGTGACCCACTTCCCCTTCCTCATCTACTGGTGATGGAACCCTATTAGATTCACCATGACCTCTATTAGCAACGTCAGCTCCACTGCTATTGCGATTTCTTTCAGCATAAGGATCTCCAGGAATTTCAATAATTTCCAACTCATCCCAAACCACAACATTACGTCGTGCACAAAGGTCTCTAATACTTTGATCGGTTTGAGCAAGAGTTTCTACAATATTCCAACCTTGACCTTTCAAAACAGCAATCTGTTTTGCAAACATACCGTTATCAAAGTCCGTATCTCTACGAAAATAACTTCTTAACTCAGATACAGTTTTTTTCCACCAACTTGGATTTGTAAGCAACGGAAGAAAATGATTTCTTGTATTAGCAGTGAAAGGTCGTCCTATGAGATCATCAGGAAGGGACAACCATCCGTACGGATATGATCGCCATTGATCAGGGTGTTTAAAAGGGAATGCTAATCCATTATCGATAGCAGCAACATGAATATGTGGATATGATACATTAAGTGATTGCGAAGTTTCTGTATCAACTTTGTCAGCATTATTCGAAGAAGGCTCGGTTGTTGTTGACTTAGAAGGTAATACTGACGGATCAGGGCTAAGCGAATCATCTGAGAGAGGATGCTGAATACCATTTGAGGAAAGTTGTAGAGCATCATTATTGGATTTTACTGAAGGTAACATTGTTGCTGATTCAGGACCTTTTAAAGTATTAGATGAATTTGCAGAATTTTTCGACAATACATCTGGTGTTTTCATGACTTTTGACTTTGGAGGGGTAATTATTGGACAATCATTTTCATCTTTTTCGCAATACTTGATCATCCAATTATCCAAACCTCGATCTATGAAGAGGAAATAGTTAATTAGGTTGGTCAAATGATTAAATATAATGAATTATAATTAAATATAATAAGATATGTTACCAGTATTTCTCATTAAATAATCCAAAATGACTAATTTTTCAAATTGCTCTCTAAATTGAAGTTGTAATTCCGGAGTCCAAGAAAAACGCTTACCATGTGGAGAAGATTCGTATAGATCATTGTCATCATCTATCGTACTAGATTTTCCACACATAAATGAATTTAAAGATTTACCATGGCGTTCATTACCCATTACATTATTCGCATAAAATTGACTTTCTGGCCATGGATGTTCCTTCAAAAATATGTTGGCGTCTTTGAAACCCTCCAAAAATATTTGGAAGCTACCAATTTTTTCGGGTAAAGGCTTCGGATTTTTAGTTGAACGAGCAGCACGACGGTCCAGATAATCATAATGAAAAGAAGGAGAAGATAGCCAGATGACTTCAGTGACAGGAACAATATTCAAGTTTAAACGACGATCAAGAAGAGAAGCAGCAGCTTCCGAAATGTACCCAAGATTTGGAATTAAGCTTATAGAAAGAAAAAGAATGAACAATTTTTTGATGAATAATTTAATGAGTTAAATTATAAGAACAATACATGAAAAAGGTTCATACCAACTTCTTCCAAAAAAGCAAGGAAACAAATTTCTATGGATCCATTTTGTCCATTTAGGATTAAGACGACCATAAGGTTCTTCGTTTTTCGGTTTAAAAACGCCAACAATTTTGTCATCTATATTACGACAGAAATAAGAACCAGAAGAACCTTGCCTAATTCTGGTTGGTTGGACACCAGAATGTATAGCAGCTTTTACAAAATTCACGATCTCGTTGAATAATTCAGGTGTAAGAGGCGGACCATGATTTGTTGTCAACGGAGAAGAGCTAGGCTATTTATGGGAATTCATCAACCAAAGATTCAATTACAATAATAAAATTGAATAAAGAATTGATACGCACGAACTCTTTATCAAATATACCTGCATATTTTCTAAATTAATTTCCCTGAAAACAGATTTATAAAGCTCTAATTCCTTATTATGTAAACCCTTAGGAGACCCTTTTAATTTAAATTTTTTTGAAAGTTGAGACCAAGCACTACTGCGACGACTACTGGAACTGTCATCAGGAAGTTCTTCACTGTGCCTTCTAATCTCAGGCTCGTTACTTTGAGAGTTTTCCATTATAGAGTTTGGAAGAAGTGACTTGTTCAGAGGTTGTCTTGTTTCAGATAAGGCACGTCTTTGATAACGTGGTCTAGTAAGTATGAAGTCGGTATTACGATCATAAATGGATCGTGCAGTATCGAACAAATAATCGTCTTGCTCGTAAGAGTCCTCTTGTTGAAGCTTAACGTAACCAGACAAGGGGTTATTATTTGACCTAATCATTTGTAAAATTATTTAAAGATATATGTAAAGGGGGAGAAGTGGAAAGTAACTTTAATGATTTAATAACGATTATTCAGTAGTCAGTAAATAATAGGGTAGAAGATTACTGAACATACCGACAATTCAAGGTACTCAACGAACAAAATTAAATGTTAAGTACCAGAAACGGTAATTTTTGATTTGCATTAGATGCAGGGACGCATACTTTTATAGAATAATTAACGTCAATCAACGTCAGAAAGCATATGTAATATTGGTTGAAAGGCAACTAATATGAGCCGAATTGTCCCGATTTTTTTTTCAGAACAATCAAAAATTTTTGCAATGTAAACAAAAACAGATAAGAAGCCCACGTGGCTTCGAAAAGGCTTGTAACTTCCTACGTAGCATTTGATAACTTTATATCGATATGATGTAATACTTCATGTTCACGTGAAATATCGTGATGCCATTGTTTTAGTTATATTAAGTTAAAGCATCTTTTAATCACTAATTATCGTTCAAGTATTTGGAGTTGCAAGCTTTTTTTAATCTCGGTACCGATATATAGCTATAGGTATTTTATTCTTTACTGCAAATGCATTTTTTTTCACTACCAACGCAATTGCCCGATTGAGGTGCAATTACAATACTCTGCGTTAATTTCATGTGAACCACCGACATCTAAATCTTAATTAAGAAAGGTTTAGTGTTAAGATCATATGTTAACAAAATTACCTGTCCGCCACGTGATTTCTTTATTGAAAAATACACCGAATACATACGTAAGTTCTTACGCACCAGTTTAGCGGTTATAACCGGAAAGCGTAACACCAGTTTGCAAGAATTAAGCTCAATGCAACAAAATATTGAAATAAGTTTCAAATTTCGGTAATAGGTGACCATGTATATGCGTCTACGCAGAATTTTAAAGCATTCTATCGAGCAAGTTTTTTGCTTGACAATAAGTACAACTATTTTCTTTTAAAAGGAATTAGCCAAAATAAAAACCCAAGCCTTAGATGAATTAAATAAAGGTTATCCCTTAATTTAACTTTCATTTTATTTTTTGCTCGTGGTTAATTATTCGTTGCTCCTCACATAGCTCAACAGGTTTGTCAGAATAAAAATCTTTCATTATCGTTATGAATGAATGTCTATTTAGGAAATTTTGAATTTCATGTTAATTTGGTTCCGGTTCAATTCTGGATACGATTCTAGGTTTAGATATACGAGTTTTCGATTTAAGCTCGGTTTTACTATGTGCTGTTGAACCCCAAAACCGATTCAATAGAGGCCTGCATTGGGTCCTGTGACCCGGCCCAATCCACAAAATAAAGCGGGCCAAAAAATATATAATATATACTATATATATAGCATAACTATTTGATTTATTCAGAAAAATTTTTTTATTTATTAATTTTATACCTTTGAACTAAAATAAAAAAATTCATTGAATTTGGCTGAAGAATTATCGAGGGGAGACCGATTTTTTGGATAATATGAAGTGTATGAGTAGAGATGTGCCGCGAAAGATTTTGTCGATCACTTGGATACGAATACAATCATCAAATCGCTAGAAACAACTGTACGAACTGTACGTACTGTACGCGAAAAAATTCAGGTAACGCATCTCTATGTATAAATAGTATAGATAGTATAGGTCCTAAATTTCTCACAAAACGTATAGGCTTATGAATAAATGTGGATTTCGCCATCATACAATAAAGTTCGTTATTATAAGCGTTTATAAAGTATCACTACATAAACCTATTACTAAATCTATTGCTAAATGTGTTCCAACAATCCTGAAGTAGTGTGGGTTGTTGTAGTCTGCACTTTGTATTTGATTATCGATAGTCTCGAAATAGCGTAGACGATTCCAGATGCATTTCCACGAAGCCGATTTCCGAAAAACGACTGATTCGCAGTTTCAGAACTTTCAGTATAGATGGGACCACAGAATAACATCAAATAAGCCGAGACCAACTTGATTTGGTGGCTTATATTACCTCTCCCTCTTCTGCCTCCCCCCTCACTCTCAGTAAAAAAAACTGTATTCAGGGTTTTATATTTTACGGATTATTTCAGGAAAGTTCGGATTTTATTGTCTCACCTTTCTTTTCAGGGAAGAGGGAGGATTGATGACTATTTTTCTCGGTGGATTAATTGTCCAGAGCGAAGCGAAAGACATTGTTTTTATGACAGTGATTCTGTCTATTCGCTTCCATGATGCTGATTGGTTGATTACATATAATCAATTAGTTACAAAGCTCCGGACACTTATTGCTACGAATTGCCTATTTATAGCGAATCTAAATACATAGAGTATTTAAAGAGAATATTATGGAATTAAGAAAAATGGGCTGATACTTATCGCAACAAGAAATGGATACTACAAATTTATAGATTCTTGGTATAAGAAATTCAAACATACGTAAACAAAATCATCGAATCAACACTCTAATTCGAGCTCTAGCGGATGTGGGGTTTGAATGCAGGGCTATCTATTTGATGATTGCAGGACTGGAAGAATGAAGCCACAACAAAAGAACAGCAGCGTCAGGAACTTGCAAGATTGGTCGATATTTTCTTGTGAAATCATCATCTGCAAACAATGCAAGAAAATATAAATATAAAACTAGTTAATGTCCAGATTTTAAATTTCTTGAAATAAAATACAAACACATATCTTGTTTATGCAATTAAGCGCTATCCAGTGTCGTTGTCGATGTCCGAGGTTTCTTACAGTAATGGTAAATAACCTGGCCACTTACCAATTTTTCAAATGACCTCAAAATGATCGTCATTCAATGATTTATGACAAAGCGAATGGTCATTTTCAAACAACTAGGGTATTAGGTCATTCGCATATAGAGTTAACATCTAACTAATTATGAAAAATCTGCATAATGCATGTTTAAGTGATATATATATCCGGAGCCATTTCTCAATTCACGTCGATTATTAATTGGCTTATGTCATTTGAAATTTGAAAATTATTCGTAAATGTATTATATTGAATCGCTTTACACTTGATCTTGTGATCCGATTGGATACGGACCCTATAATTTTTTCACTTTTCCGACAATATCAAAATCATGACAAAGTTAGCCTGCATTAGGTTAAGGTTAGGATTAGTTCCGGTCAATTTTTGTCGGGATTTTATTTGTCGGGAAATAGCTGCTGGTAAAATGTCAGACCCATGACCTGTCATTTTGGAGTCATCAGTCATTTAGATCATTTATCGGATAATATCGAAGTTTTCCAGTTTTATGTGATTGGCTAAAGGTTTAGATAATCAATTAACCAAAGTTAAATAAGTAGGGTGGTTGGCAAGGCCACTCAAGATATTGCCTGCCATGGCAAGGTTTTAGTAGCTTGCCAACATAAGAGGCGAGTAATGGCAAAGATGGCAAACTTTTTATACTTGATTATTATAGTGTTTTTATATATCTTGTTACTGCATTATACAGTATCATACAACAACTTAAAATTAGTATCAGATTAAAATTCAAGTACCGGCATAGAAGTTTTATTAGAGTTAAAGTTAACAAGGTATTATCGGAATTATTATATCAGATTAAAATAATTATAATACTATTAATGCCTTTATTCTAATATAGAGTTTTAGCTTAATCTAATAAAATTCAATAATTAAACACAAATTTTAATTTGATGTATATATAACATATACAGTATGCTACTTTATGTATATTCATATTAATTTTAGAAAATTGCTATTTCCACTTCCATTTTTGCTAATGCTACCTTACAAATATCAAAAAGTGCTTCAAATAGATATTTTTATTAAGTAAACTTTTTTTTAATCTTAATAAAAGTTGTTTATCAGGCCTTTTTGGTTCTAATAGTAGTAAAATTATTATACTCAGACCAGTAGTTCTTAAGAGATATATATCCAAAGTTAGTTAACTTTCATTTACTTTAAAAAAAAGTATTAGTTCAATTTTAATAATTTTACTATTACTAGACCAAAAAGGCCTGTTAAACTACTTTTAATAAAGTCAAAAGAAAATTTTCTTAATAACAATATCTCTTTTAAATCACTTTTAAATTTCAGAAGATAGTATTAGCAAAAATAGAGGGTAAAAATAGCAATTTTCTAATTTTAAAGTACTATGTTAATTTTAAATATAAGTTAATTAGTTTATATAAAAGATAATGTAAATTTTTAAACTATTATATTAATATCAAATTATAAACTCAAAAAAAGGTTCATATTATTTGTCCTACAATAATTTGTCTAACAACTACAATATTTTCCAACAATATTTTTGAAAATATTATTAGGAAAATAGTTGTTGAACAAATTGTTATCAAGTAAATAATATAAACCTCAAAAAATAATAAATAAAATTTATAATATTTTTAAAGTGTTGTTTTATAGCAACCTATTACTATAGCAACCTATAATCAACTAATTAAAATCGATTATGTGTATTTTTTTATTTCAAAGTTCAATCTAAAAAACCAATCTAATAGTAATTAACCAATTAAATTTAACAATACAAAAATAATAAAATTTCTAAATTTAGAATTTTATATAAAAAATAAAAAAAATTAAAAATTAATACAAATTTATTAAAGAACTATTACAATTCAAAAATTACAAAAAACTGCTTCTAGAAAATTGCACCAAAACTGGAAAAAAAATATCAAAAATTGCTTCAAGCCTAATTAAACTAACCACCAACAAACTATAAAAAGTACTTTTAGTGTTTTGTTGGTAAATTATTTTGTAAAATAGAAGAAGAACCACAAGACAATTTACTAACAAAAAATTAAAAAATAGAAAAAATACTACAAAACAATACCAACAAAATATTAAAAAACCAAAGAAATATCACAAGGCAATTTACATATTGAAGAACTAAAAGAAATACTACAAACCATTTATCAGAGAATGCTGAAGGCCCAGAATCACAAGACAATTCATTTACAAGAAAAGAAAAGAAAAGAAAGAGTAGTATAAAACTACTCAAAGAAGCAACTACAAGACAATTTAATAAAAAATATCAAAGAAACAAAAAAAATACCATAGAATAATTTACCAGCAAAGTATCAAAGGATTAGAAGAAATATTACAAAAAACTTACTAGAAAACACCGAAGAAATACTAAAGGAAGAAGTATTACAAAACAATTCTTTAGAGCACACTGAAGGCCCAAAAGAGATACTAACAAAACAATTTACTAGCAAAGTATCGAAGGACCAGAAAAAATACAAGACAATTTATCAGAAAACACTGAAGGCCCAAAAAAATACTACAAAACTGAAGTGAAATTTTGCAAAAAAAAAAAAAAAGTAGTATAAAACTACTCAAAGAAACAACTACAAGACAATTCACTAAAGAATACTGAAGAACTATAAGAAATATCACAAAACAATTCATTAGTAAAATATTGAAGAATCCACAAAAAAACTTACTAGAAAAGCTAAAGACCAGAAAAAATATCAAAAGAAAGTTTATCAGAAAAACACCAAAGGATCAGAAAAAATATCACAAGATATTTGCCAGTAAAATATTAAAGAATAGAAGAAATGCTACAAACAATTTACTAGAGAATATCAAGAAGTACTATAAAATAATTCACCAGAAAATATTAAAGAACCAACAAGACAATTTACCAAAGAACACCAAAGGCCTAAAAAAAATACCACAAGACAAAAAAACACTAATGAAGAGAACTTCTATAAAAAAAAGAAAAGAAAAAGTAGTATAAAACTATTCAAAGAAGCAACTACAAAACAATTTACCAGAGAACACCAAAGAACAAAAGGAAATACCAAAGGCAATTCACTAGCAAAGCATCAAAGGATTAGAAGAAATACTACAAAAAACTCATCAGAAAATACCAAAAAAATACCAAAAGAAGAAGTATATAAAACAATATGCCAAAGGCCCAAAAGAGATACCACAAGACAATTTATTAGCAAAACATTGAAGGCCAAGAAGAAATATTACAAAACAATTTATTAGAGAATGCCAAACTATAAAAAATACTACAAGACAGTTCATCAAAAAATACCAAAGAAGAGGTGTGGCAACTTAGTGAAGTGGTCTAGTTGTCACCCTCACCAAATGTTATGGGAAGATCCCATGTTCAAATCCCAGGGACGGCGC